CAGCAGAGCTGTGCAGGACACAGGCTGGGCCGGCCCGAGGTGCAGAGAAGGCTGGGGCAGCAGAAGGCCACAGTCCTCACCACGCCTGGTGCCAGGAAATTGGCCTGGACTGTCAGGGCCAGGGCCGGAAGGGGAAGGAGTGGGTTCCCCAGCAAGAGACTGGGGGTCAGTACATGGGGATGTGGAGAAGGAAGTCAGTAGAGGTGTGGTGGAGAGGGGTGGCATGTGAGAGGGGGTTTCCCAAATTAGCAGCCACCTTGGGGGAGAGACTGCCCCGTTTGTGTGCGCAAACCTCTGTGATCTTGCTTGTCAAGGCCTCTGTGTCAGGCCCGGGAGCTCAGAGCTCAGAATTCCAAGGATCCTGTGGCTTGGAGGGGGCATGACGGCATCTACTCTGAGAGCAGGAACGTGGCCTGGGGCCATCCAGGGGTGAAGCTCCCCTGGGAGAGCCTTTGGTGACTGTAGGCACCCCCAAGAAGGCTCCCAGGGCACAAGCCCACCCACACGGGAAACACATCCCATTCTGTTGGTGCAGCAGGGACGACTTTCCCTTCAGGACGGGGTTCTCTCTGCTCTTCTGCAGTCAAATGGAAACCAGCCAATGCCATTATCTCTCAAAGGAAGAATGGAATCAACACTACCACCCATCGGGCCGCCTTTGATCCGGTCAGAGGGAAGGGGCCAAGCTGCCTGCCCCGTGTGGTTCTGGGGATCAGCCTCTGTTTTTCTGGGAGTGCCTATTGATAGTTAGAAATTTCTCCCAGTTCCATCTGAAAACATCTGTGTGCATGGCAATTTCCAGGGCTCTGGGCTTGTGGAAGCATCACATGTTATGGTAGTGAAGAGGTTCCGGTAGCCCTGCTGTGAGCTGACCCCACACAGGCCCCCAGGTGTGGGGGCTTTTCCTGTTGTTTATGGTGCAGGGCGGGAGGGGTCCAGGAGAGTGTCCCAGAACCTCAGTCTGGCCTCTCCAAGTGTAGCCGTTGACTGGTAGCCCTCAAAAGGTATGTTCCTAATGCCTGGAGCCTGTGGGTGTGAACTTTTAAGGAAAAAGATCTTTGTAGATGTGACTGAAATAGGGACCTCGATATGAGATTGCCTGGGGTTCCCCGGGGGGGGGCCTACGTGGTGTCTCAAGTATCCTTATAAGGGACATGCAGGGCAGAGACAGAGAGGAAATGCCACCCGAGGACAGAGGTGGAAGGACACGGCCACAAGCCCAGGGCCTTGCAGCCATGAGAGCTGCAAGTCCAGGCTGGATGCCCCTGGAGCTCCGGAGGGAGCACGACCCTACCGACACCTTGATTTTGGACTTCCAGCCTCCGGGTCTGTGTGGGAATAGATTTCTGCTGTTTCACACCCTCAAGTTGGTAGTAAATTATTACAGCTGCATAGCAAGTGAACACACAGGTTTACTCAGGAGGAAAAGGAAAGCACACACGTGGTCTTGGGCTGAAGAGCTGTGGCGTCCCCCAGCTCCCCGCCTGGAGACTGCCCCCAGGAAGAAACAGCCCCACACACATTGCAGCATCTGGCTCTCACCCCTGGAAGTCAGGGGCACCCCCCCACCGCTGTCCTAACCGCCCCCCCGCAACCCCCAGCGACAGGCAGCGGTGACATCCCGGCCTCGTTCTGATGACTGATTCCTTCGGGTGGGTGTCAGGCTCCTGTCTACCCCCCAACCCCTCACCACTTGCACAGGCTGGAGGAGGCACCTGGGGACAGCCCATCTCTGTGTTTTGGTTATGGCCATAACCACTTTCCGGCTGCCCTGAATCCGACAGGGGTGAGGCAGGTGGGGCTCTGACTGCTGTCTTCTCCGGGAGTCCATGCAGAAGGAGACTTGGCACCGCTCAGCTTTCCAGATCCATGATGCTCAGCCAGCAGCACATGGAGTGAGGAGCGAAATCTCACCGCCCCGAGGGGGCTGGGCCCCAGCACTGCACAGTGCTGCCCACCGCATGACCCGGCCCCGTCACAGCATTCTTATCTACGAGGCGGGTGACTCTGCACCCTGGGGGTCCCACTGCCTGCCACAGCAGCATGTACCCTACTGTGGCAGGTGCATGCCGTGGATCCTGTGCAGACCCCACACGTCAGAGCTTACCGTCCCAGTTGCTCTGGCCGACCCCCCCCCCCCCCCCCGCCACGGACTGGGCTTCCAGAACAGGCGCTGGCCGCCAGCTCTGATACTCCGTGGCCCCCGCAGGAGGAGGCTGGCCTAATTCCATCCTCGACTGGCGTCTGATCCCGGGAGGAAGAGCCGACAGGCGCCATGACTGGTTTCACTTGCTGTGATATTTTCCGTCTTTGTGCACAGTGTCGTGTGCATCACGACCTGACTCCTACGGACACCTGAGTGATACTCCATCGTATGCATAGACCACACTTTTATGTTGGGACACTCAGGCTGTTTCCTCTCTGGGCTCTTAGGAATGACATGTCTACAAACAGGGTGCACAAGCTCTCCCCTGGCTGTGCCGTTTCTTCTGGGCATGTCCTGGAATTGCTGGTTCCTATGGTAACTATATGGTCGGCCTTTCAAAGAGCTTGCCAGACGGTTTTCCACGGTGGCTGTGCCCATTCGCATCCCGCGCAGCACGTGGAAGGATGGATTCCAGCCACCCCGGTGGGTGTGAAATGGTGTCTCCTGTGGTTTTGACTTCCATTTCCATTTCCAGGTACTTGCTGGGAACTATAGATACTTTGTTGGCCTCCTGTGTGGGCCTTGGGCTGTCCCATCTCCTGTCTGCGGACGGGACAGTGTCAGCCATTGCCCACACATGGGTGCAGATGGGAGAATGTATCCGGGAGAGATATTCTGGGAAGCCAACGAACCAAGGGCTCACACGCTGTCAGCTCGTGACCAGATCTGCCATCCCGCCCCCCAGGAGCGTACATCACACTTCCCTTTTGATAAAATCAAGACCACATTTTACAGCAGTGAGGATGGTCCTAGGAGACATTTGTCCATGTCTGGAAACATTTTTGATTGTCATGGCCGGTGGGATGCCATGGTATCTAGTGGGAAGAGCCCAGGGATGCTGCTGGAGCCCCATAGTGTCCAGGCCCCCCAGAGCACAGAGTCATTGTCCCCTCACGCCTGTGATGCTGATTTTGAGTCCCCATTGCATGTAATATTTTCCCACCTATTCTTTTCGCTGAATAATCTTTTATGAACATCTTCCTAGGAAGTCCCTTCATTCAGGGTGTTCTAAAGGTCAAGACTTGCAAAGAAGATCAAAGACCTTGGGTGGTGAGTCCATGTTTCCCATGCATGGTCTTGTCACCATAGTGCCCCCACCCTGCCCAAAGCCTGATGAATCATCCCATCAGGAACTGGACTTCACATGGGAGGGGGTGTTTCTAAGGGTCCCTTCTGCTCGCCTAGCCCAGCCCCACTAAGGCTGTCTGAGTGATTTCCAGGGACCTCCCTGTGCCCCAATCTTGCATGCTCCTTCCCTCCTTCCCATCAGCAAACACCCCCCCAATCTGAGAACACTCCCACTTGCACCAAACCTTTCCTCCCAACCTTTTCTATTTATGGGGTCTGAGAGCTGCACCCCTCATTAGAACCTGGGTTAGAGATCTGGTGTGGCTTCCTCTCTAATTCGCTAGAGACTCTAGAACTTGACCTTGCTCTTCTGTTAAGTGGGCTGTGGGACTGTTAACCAATATCATGTAGGTGAAAATTCTCGGTGGCTTATAAATGCCCTGAGTGGGGTCAGGAATTGAGGTCACCATGGGAAACTGATTTCAGTTCGCTCTCCGTGAAGGGGCTGGCAACAATGGGATGCTCAGAGCTCCTAGGAGCCTAAGCAGTGACCATGCTGCAGATGCCCCTTTGCCCGGTGGAGCTGCTCAGCCAGGGAAACCATCACCAAGGGGCTCGGACCCTCTGGCCCTGGACTGCTGGAGCCAAGAGCAATGGCCCAAGGCTGAAGTGTCACCTGCTGTGCCACCCTGGAGGAGGACTCTCATCCCCACACCCCTCTGTGCTCTACTCAAGGACTGCCTCCTGGCTTCCAGCATAGGATTCACTTCCTGAGGACCTGCTGGATCAAGGGCTCACACTGATCAAGAACACCAGTGGCTCCCTATGACTGGAGGATAAAATGCAACCCAGAATGTGTGCAAAGCGCCTGCATCCCACCTCACCTGCCTCCCTTCTCCATCTGCCGCGGACCCCGCTCAGCCCCACCTCCACACCTTGGCATAGCAGGGTTGTCCCCCAGGCCTCCCTCCAATGCACAAGACCTATGCCTCAAGGTTGCCTGCAATGCTGGGGGCTCCCCAGGGTCTCCCCCCCTCAGGCCTGCCCCTGCCCTGCCCCAGACACAGGTGGAGCGGACTTGGCCCCCAGGTTTCCCCACACTCTCTGGGCTGGTGAGCTCTTGGTAGACAATCCCACCCCTCCTCCTACTCCTGAGTCCTCAAACCTGGGAGGGGACCTTTGAGTTGTGAGCCCTGTCCAGGATCCTGGGGGATGGGGTGCACCTGGGGCTCCACGAGAGAGGAGGTTGATGGGGGCAGACGCAGGAGGTGCCTAGTGGGGGGTGATGGGCAGGGGAGGGGAGGGCTACTGCTTTTGCCAGACTTGTCTGGGGCAGGCTCGTAGTGCTTGGATTCTGTACTCCTGAGGAGCCGCGCCATCGCCGCTTTTAAGAAGGGGTCTCGCGCCCCTTCCCAACTGGCGCGAAGGACCCCCCCGCCCTGGGAAGGAGGGAGAGGCGGAGCAGCTGTTACTTGGAGGGGCGGAGCTGGGCCAGGGGGTGGGGGTGGGGGGGCGCCCGGGGCTGAGGGGCGGGGGACTGCGGGGTGGGACCTGGCTGGCGGCGGTCGGGAGCCTGTGGGGCGGGGTCGGGGACCGCCTCGGGGTGGGGCCTCGCGGAGCCGGCCGAGAATGGGCGGTGGCGGGCCGAGGCGCCCAGCAACCCGCACGCGCGGGTGGCTTGGGGTCCAGACTGGCGGAGGCGGCGTCCGGGGACGGCGCGGACCCCATGGGCTGTTGCTCCGGCCGCTGCGAGCTCATCTTCCTCTGCACTTTCCAGCTGGTGAGTGGCGACCCCTCCTCAGGTCCCGCGGTCCCAGCGCTCGGGGTGGGGGTGGGTTCCCGCTGGCGACGGTTCGGGCCCGCGGGCTTCTGGGGCCGAAGTTCGCCGCCGTCTGGGAAGGGTAGGGAGCCAGCGTCCTGCGCGCGACCCCGATGGCCCCTCCGGCCGACCTCGAGTGCCCCGCTGGGCGTGTGTGCTTGTGGGGAAGGGGGGCAGCCGCGGGGGACCCGAGCGGCGGGGACAGGTGCCAGGAGGAACAGATGACTTTGGGCGGGGCTCCTGGACCCTGCTGTCGCCGGCGCGTCGGGCGAGGCGCGTCCTTGGGCGCAGGGGGAGCCCGGCCCGCGCACGAGTCGGTAGTCGGTCGCGTTCGCGGAGGGGCGCTGCTGCGCGCGGCGTCCGCGAGTGTCGGAAGGCGCGTGTGGCCCCGAATGTGCGCGCAGGGACCGTGTGCCAGTGTGTGTGCGCGCGTTCCCTTTACAAAGCCAGCGCCAGGCACTTGGGTGAGCGGCGGCGGCCCATTTCTAAAGCCTGACAGCCTGGGGGTGTGGGTGTGCTTGTGAGTTTGCGAGTACGTGTGTGTGTCAGGGATGTGTGAGCGCGCATTGGTGGTTCAGTGGTAGAATTCTCGCCTGCCAGGGATGTGTGAGCGCGGCCTTGTCTGCCCTTGGTGCCTCCCAAGCGGGAGGATGTGGCCCCCTCGCCCCTTCCCTGTCCTGGAGAGGTGCGGAGGAGAGAAGAGGTGTGATCTGGTGCCCAGAGTTGCACTTGGGCACCTTTTGTGTTGGGGATTAGCTGGTCCTCCGGATCCAGAGCTTTGTCAGAGAAGGTGGGCATCCCTGGGCCAAGTTTCCGTTTTGCCCTCGGAGCTCCAGGCCGCCTGGTCAGTCCCATTACCAGAGCCTGAGGCCCTGGGTGGGGGTGGGGAAGTGCTAAACTGAGGTCCCTGGCCATAGGCCTGGGGAGGAGATGCTGGTGAGCCCTGGGATCTCCCATCTTAAAAAGGAAATGCTGCTTTGTTGAGGTCAGGCTGGGTGGGCTTCTGGCTCAGCCAGGCAGGGGGCTTCCTTCTCTGGAAGCTTGAAGGCTCATGGAGGATGAAGTTTTAAGCAGAAAGCCCTCCCACACACAGGGCATCCAGTCCTTTGCCTGTCCACTGCAGGGGGGTGAGGGTTGCGCACAGAGTTGGCAAGGGGCTGAGATACCAGGTTGGTGTGTCCCATGTGGAGGAAGGAAGGAGTGGCCAGAGGCTCCCTGTGGGTGCACACTCACTGCTTTGGAAGCCTGAGGGGGTGGGGTGATGGGAGGATGGGGGAGGTGGACATCTACAGGGTTTGTGCTGGACAGATAAGGCCGGGAGATAGCTCTGGGCTTCGCAAAAGGCTAGAGCCCAAGGACTACTCCACCAGCAGCAGGGAGCTACCTCCATCTTGGGGCAGAGGTGTCCCCCACTCTGTTTCGGTAGGAGGCTCCTGGGGGTGGGGTGGGGGAGCAGGAGAGGGGAAGGAACGGTCTATGCGGTGAAGGACGGCAAGGAGCCCAGGCTGGTCAGGAGGTCAGCAGTCTGGTCATGTCTGGGCATCATGAAGCAGAGTGGCCTTCGGGGGTTAGTGTGACTTTGGTTTCCATGTGTTGAGTTTGGTGTGTGGGATGTAGTCAGGATTGACTTGTGACCTGGGGCTCCGGGCAGCAGAAATAGATGTACTGGGTGAGGGATGTGGCCTCGGGGCTTGGAAGGCTCAGGTAGGGTCATTTGCCTGTTTCACCTCCACAGTGGACAGGGGACGGTGCACGGGGGGTACCCCCACAGGTCTTGGAGAAGTTACCTGCCACCAAGGGCAGCAGGACGCGGGGCTTTTTGAAGACTTTGGGTCTCAGCCAGGCAAGTTCTAGGGCCGGGGCAGAGCTGTGTCCCCACTTGGCCAGTCGGGCCCCAGCTGAAGAGCAGCGGAGAGCCATGAAAGGCCCTTTGTCCTGGCCACCCCTGTGCTTCCTCTGCTGGGGGGAGGGGAGGCAGAAGGAAGAGCTCTGACACCACCCATTGCTCTGGTCACCACATGTGGGGTGGGGGCGTCGTGAGTGAGTCCTGTGGTTTCTCTTTTCTCTTTTTGACAAGCGTGAGAGTTTTCTCGTTACCAAGCTAGTGGACAAAGGCCTGAGCACCTCTTCTGTGAGCCTTCTCCCTGAAGAATAGCGTGAGCTTTGCCCGCTCTGAGCCAGCCGGAGCACACCGTGGCGGTTTCCCAGGCTGTGCCCACCATGCGGACGAGAGGGAAGCCACGCGGTTTAGGGCGGGCGGCCACTAGAGCTGAGTCACTCATCTTTTCCCTGCCTCGAGAATGTGGCCACCGTGCCACACGGCACCATGGAATGCTAGGCCTTTTGGTGCGTGGCTCAGAAACGAAAAGGCCCCCACCTGTGCTGGACACGTGCGCAAGCTGTAGGGTCTGTCGGGAGCACAGCTGGTAGCAGGGACATACCTCCAGTCCGGGCACGAGCCTGGACCTTGGAGAACAGGGCCAGCATGACACGGTGCGGGGGCTGGGGGAGCTGGGAGGGGAACCGAGTCTCCCCCGCATGCGTGGCACTGGTGGGGGGTGCTGGGACAGGGCATACACCCCAGCCCCTCGATTAGGGTCACCTGGGCCAGAGAGGAGGACTGCAGCTCAGAACATAATTTCGTTCAGTTGAGAACAGATGGTGCTGGCCAGCCGTGCCCGTGAAGGCTGTGATGTGCACGCACATGTGTGTGCATGTCTGCGTGTACGTGTGTGTGCATGTCTGCGTGTAAATGTGTGTGCATGTCTGCGTGTACGTGTGTGTGCATGTCTGCGTGTACATGTGTGTGCATGTCTGCGTGTACGTGTGTGCATGTCTGCGTGTACATGTGTGTGCATGTCTCTTTTTCCTTGCCCCCAGGGCCCCGCATCACAGGGTAGGCCCTTCATGCTTGGGACCCCCCCCCACCTCCAGAGCTTCGCCCCTCGTACCAGTCCCTCCACTCACCCCTCTCCGCCCACCACACCCATCTGAGCCCGGCCAGGCTTCCCCTGCCCACCCAGTCCCCGACCCCTCAGGCCCAGGGTCGTGGGGCTGGCCAAGAGCTCAGGTCCGAGTCCCCCACCCTCGGCTGTCCGGTCAGGCTGGGCTGGGCTCTCATGAGGCAGGGGAGGCAGGATCTCTGCCCTCAGGCGCCTGTCTCTTCCCCCCCCACCCCCTACCCCGGCCCCAGTCGGTGTAACTGAGGAAGTTCTGCTACTCCACCGGCACTGGGACCCAAGCCGGGTGGGGGCTGCGGCCCCCTGGCCCGTGATGGGGCACATGGAGGGCTGGGCCGTGGGCTGGCGCAGGGCGACCGCTGGTGAGCCAGGAGATGGGGTTCCTGGGGAGGGGGCTTCATGTCTGCTTGTCCTTGTCCCCTGAAAACAGCTCGGTGCTATGGTCTCCAGTCTGTACCGTGACTCAGAGCCCTACTGCGCGCTTCCTTCCATGCGGGAGCTCTGGTGCCTCTTCCTGTGGGGTCCTTGCCTGGGATAATTCTTTTTTCTGTTTTTAAGATTTACTTATTTATTTGAGAGAGAGAGAACGTGAGCAAGGGGAGGGGCAGAGGGGGAGGGGGACAGAGTCTCCAGCAGACCCCCGCTGAGTGCAGAGCCCGAGGCAGGGCTCGATCCCAGGACCCTGAGACCATGACCTGAGCCGAAACCAAGAGTCGGCTGCTCAAGAACTGAGCCACGCAGGCGCTTCTACTTGGATAATTCTTTCACTCTGACTTGGCCTTTGTCAGCTGTGACCCTGTCTTGGTTCAGGTGGTGGGAGGAGGAGGCCCTGAGCCTGAAGCTTTCTTTCGTTCCCATTTTGTGGTGCTGTGAGGTGGGCCCCAGCTCCCGTCCGGGTGAGGCTGCGGTGAGGATGCCCGGGCTGATGCTCTTCTCGGTGAGACTCAAGCAGTTCTGTGCTGAGCTTTTGTTTTCAAGCTCTAGCGTCCAGAGGGGCACGCGGATCCAGATGCTCTTTCCTGATGGGGTCGATGAGTCTCCATCACAGCAGAGGTGGCCCTCTGAGTGGGTGCCGGGCTGGTTGGGTCCTGCGCCCCATGCCCCGTCCTGGCCAGTGTGGATGTCCCAGGGCAGCTTCTCTGTCCTTCTGACCCAGCCTTGAACTGAAGCCAGGACATCCTGCCTCGTGGAAGGTGGTGGCTATGCCCCTGGCCTCTGAGACCGGGACTGGCTGCCCCCGAGTGACCTGGAGATCCTGGGGGGCCTCTAAGAGCGAGAGGTGCAGCACACCGAGGGCCGGTGCTGCTCCACAGACCTGGGAAGGCTGGGAGGAGGTGGACTCCCCCCCAAGCCGGCTCGGCGGGCAGGGAAGGGGGCTGGAGCTTTGCTGGAGGAAGGGGCTTAAAGCCCATGAGCCGTGCACACGGGGAATGGTGCGCACACACATATGTGCGTGCTGGGGGAGTGGGGGTGGGCATGGGGGCCCCACGTTTTTTGAAAAGATCAGTGCAGGCTTTGGGAGCCAGTGAAGCGTGAGCATTTTCTCTGTCCTGAACTGAAAAGAAGGCTATGGGAAGGGTGGGAGGCAGGAGGCCAGGCAGCAGCTGGTGAGCAGACTGTGCCCCCGGGGCTGCTTTCTCTGCAGAGGAAGGACAGCTTGGAGGCCCTGGTGAGTGTCCCTCCCTCAACTGCGGGCTCGTGCCAGGGATGGATGCCCTGGGAGGGGACAGACAGACAGACTTGCCTGAACACACCGTGGCAACACTGACAACAGAGTCCACGTGGTGAAGGTGGCTGTCCCCTGGGTCTGTGCGCGGCGCGTCCACGGCCCTGAGTCAGCCCTCCTCCCCCGTTCCTGACCTGTTAGTGCCCTCTGACCTCCATCTCCTTCCTGGGAGGCCACCAGGCAGGAACACCCCTAGCCCCGGGGATGTCCCCTGGGGTCCACAACTCTGGGCACAGAGGACACAGGGCGTGGTCAGGGAGGTCACAGTCAGACAGCATCAGACCGGGGGGGATGGGGGCCCACAGTCTTCCCAGCAGCTGCCCGGCCCCCGCCTCTTCGCTCTGAGGGCATTCCTATGAGAGGATGGGCCAGGCCCAGGGGTCCTAGCTGCCCACTGGGGGCTCGGGCTCCGACTGAAGCCTTCTCATCCACGGTGATGGCACTGCACGCTCTTCCAGAACTTTACTGAGCATTCGAGACAGTGTTGGTAATAGACCACTCATTCTGTGCACAGCAAGCGGCGGGGGGGGGGGGGGGGGGGGGGGGCTAGTGACCGGCTGGACCCTGGATACGCCCACTGGGCATTAAGAGCAAAGTAGGAGACAAAAGGTGGGGGTTTGGCTGGCCCTGGTTCTCCTTGGAGACCATCCGTGTCTTGGGAGACAATGCCCATCACCTCCTGGCCAAGCCACCCAGCCTCGGGGGGCTGGTCTGGAGCAACCCACCCATGGCAGGCCTGTGGGGTGGGAGGGCTGTGGCATGCAGGAAAGCGGCCCAGACTGGCATGTGCCCTGCCTGCGGGCCCACTCCCCAGTCCCCACTCCCAGCTGTCTCCTAGGATGGACCAACCTCTGCAGGGCATACTTGGAATGTCCCCCTGCCGGAGACCTCCTGAAAATAGCCACCATCCCTTTGGGACCATACACAGCGGCCAGGAGTGCCCAGGATGCACCCACGGCAGCTGTTTCCGGGGCAGGTCGGGGTCCTGTGAGGAGCCAGGGTGGAGGCAGGGCCAGGTGCTCCCGCAGGGGGGTGTAGGTGTGAAGTCCACAAAGGTCCACCCTGCCAGGCTCTCCGTCCCTCGCTGCGGTGCGGGGCAGTGTGGAGCCTGGAGGCCTGTCTGGCCGGCTCGTTCATGGTTTCAGCCCACCCAGTCTGTGGGAGGCACCCGAGGGGGGCTTGCTCGGAGGAGCTCTCCTTGAGGAGTCAGCAGGCGGCCCCCACGCAGCCCACACAGCTGAGCTAGCTCTGGGTCGGGGACTGGCTCTCCCTGTGCCAGTGGCGTGCTGGTGCACAGTGGGGCTGTAGGGGAATGGCGGAGTGCAGCCAGAAGCCCTGCCAGGATGCTGTCCCTTTGCTGCCACTGTCCCTTCCAGGACACGGCCAGTCCCCTCCAACCCTTGCTGGACGCGCCTTGTGTTGCACATGGACGGGAAGGTGCTGGCTTGGGTGCAGTGGATTTGGCCGTGTTTTCTCCCAGTGTATACGGTCCTGGTTTCTCCTGGTGATGGGCCAGGTCCACAGAATGCGTGAACGTGTGGGTGCGTTCTGGAGTCGTGACTGCGCTCAGAGCCAGCAGGTCTCCCCTGCAAATTGAATATCACCTTCCTGGGGTGCCTGGCTGCCTCGGTCAGGAGAGCACGTGACTGATGCCCTCAGGGTCGTGAGCCCCTCGCTGGGTGTAGAGATCACTAACAAAACAAAGAGACAGACCTTAAAAACAATCGAGCTCCCCAGATGTCTGAGTGCCTCTGGTTGGTCCTCTGTTGGCTGTGCCTGCAGGGCTGGAGGGCGGGAATCCACCACAGTCCGTGGAGTGAGGACAGAGCCCAGTAGACGGGGAGGGTGCTGACCTGAAGGCCGCAGAGCCTCAGCGTCCACTTCCTGCCGAGAGTGCCCCAGAACCACGTGACTTGGTCTCAGGCGTCCTGCCCTGGGCTGGTGGTTGGGCCTGCAACCCCGTGAGACAGAGCGGCCCAGTGTTCCCATGCTCAGGATGAGGGAGTCCAGGATGGAGGGGACAGTGCTTTGCCCAAAGAGGGCATTTTAAGGCAGAAGGGACACCCCAAGGTGAGGCTTGGGGGCCAGATCCATTTGGAGATTTTTGTTGGAAGGCCCAAGACCATAGCAGATGCTGGGTGGTGGTGATTGGGTCGGAGAGGCAGGCCCGGGAGCGCCCTCGGGGGCCCGCTGCCCCTCCACTGCCCACTACCCCTAGGTCACTGCCTTGGAGCGGCAGGTGTTCGACTTTCTGGGCTATCAGTGGGCACCCATTCTGGCCACCTTTGTCCACATCGTCATGGTCATCCTGGGGCTCTTCGGCACCATCCAGTACTGGCCTCACTACATTGTGGTGCTGAGTTCATTGTGCTCCGGCAGCCCTCCCACGGGCAGGTGGGGCGGGATGACCAGCAGGGGGCCTCGGGCGGCATAGTGTCCTACAAACCACCAGAACATCCCGGGAAGTCCGGGATTCAGCCACTCCACCCTGAGACCTGTCCTGGGGTGGGCTCAGGAAAATGCTCCTCCAAACAGAGCATGCTGGCTGCCAGACTTGGGGAGCAGAGTCCCCCTGGTTCAAGTCTCCTCCAAGGGTGCTGTGCAAAAGTAAAAAAAAGAGCTGAGTTCACCTTCTCCACCCCTCCCCTCTCTTAACTTTTTAGTACGCGGTGTGGGCGAACATCTGGGTCACCTGGAACGTCTTCATTATCTGCTTCTACCTGGAAGTGGGGGGACTCTTGAAGGTAAGTCGAGGGGTTGTGGCCAGGCCGCTGTGAGCATTACACACACCTGCTTGTTGGTCATTGTCTCCCCCGTGGTCTGTTCCTGGCTCTGGCCCTGGCACCCAGGACAGCCCTGGCCCACAGGAGGGACTCAGTAAAGGTTTGGGGAAGACTAGTGATTTGATGGGTCGGCGGGGGGCTGTGGGCACTGGTGGGCAGTGGCCTTGGAGGAGGGGCCCTGGAGCCAGGGCAGTGCTGGGCAGGAGAGGCAGGGCTGGGGGCCAGGGAGCAGAAGGACCGGGGCTGCGAGGGTGCAGGTGGGAACACCTCTAGGGAGCCAGGCTCTTTCAAATGTTGGTGAAACCCACCGGTCTCTCCCGTGGAGGAGGGGGCCCACATCCAAGCCATGGTTCGCGGGGAGTGTTGGTGGTGAACAAATCCTGAGCGGTGGTTTTGGGCACTTTGTCCGTAAGGTTTTATTTCACTGTTGCCTGAAGCTCAGAGCCAGGGACGTGGGTGGGGTTTGACTCCAGGTAGGCCACGGGCAGACTGGCCGTTGCTTTGTGGGGCCACGCCTGGGGCAACAGAGTAGGGAAGACAGACGTTAGTTCAAACACCTAACATGGCAGCCATGGCCAAAGCCATGAAGGAAGGTCCGGAGCACTGTGAGAACACACCCCCAGGGTCGGACCTGGGCAGGGAGGCCTTCCTGGAGGAGGGGGTGTGAGCCGGGTAGGGGGCCAGGGCAAGCAAAGGGAGGCCTGCTTGCAGGGGAGTGGCTGAGAGGGCCTTGGGGTCCCTGCCTCCCTTGGGGGGCCCACACTGGACTGTGACGGGTGGGTGGGCAGTGTCCCTGATGCTCACCTGCTCCCACCTTCACCCCCAGGACAGCGAGCTCCTGACCTTCAGCCTCTCCTGGCACCGGTCCTGGTGGTGTGAGCATGGCCCGGGCTGCCTGCGTGAGGAGCCAGAAGCTGGCCTGGGGCCCCCGGATGGACAGGCCTTGGTGCCAGGCATTGGCTGTGCCCTGGAGCATGGCCACGCTGAAGCCCTGCACAGCGCCCTGCAGATCCTGTTGGCGGTGAGTAGGGGGGGCCGGGGGAGGGGCTCACCCTGCTCCTGGGCCAGGCCTCCCGCTTGGCCTCCTCTGGGTCCCCCTCCCTGCCACTGGAACCTCAGTGGGCTGCTCTGTAAAGTGGGCTCGGAAACCAGCTCCAGCCCCAGGGTGGGTGTGCGGAGGAAAGAAGGGACAGACCCCCAGGCTCTGCCGGTGCTGTGGGGCGGGCAGGGGACTACAATGGAGTTATTTGATGCCCCTGCCGGCCCTGGAGGCTCCTTCCCAACCTCCTCCAAGTCAGAAGGGACACCCGATAGCGAGGGGTGGAGACGCAGCTTGGCCGCACCGCTGTGTTGTTGGGGGCTGTGACCCCGTGAATAAAACGACAGGATTCCCGGTCACATCTGAACTTCAGACCGACACCGAGCAAATTTTTGCGTACGTGCATCCCATGCGGTGTTTGTGACGCTCTGACACTAACACGGTGGTTCATTGTGTATCTGAAATTCAAATTTAAATGGGTGTCCTGTATTTTATCTGCAAGTCCCGAGAAGAGGAGGGATTTCATGTAGGGGCCGGGGGTGGACATGAGAGTCTGCAGGCCTCAGGAGCTGAGCCGGCGCCCAGCACCCTCTGCCCCGTCCAGGCCAGGGGAGCAGTTCTCCTGGGGACCGACTCTAGCGATAAACCTGTGGCTTCTCCAAGACTCAGTTTCTCTTCTGCGACCCAGACAGTTAGCCCCCACCCCCCATGGAGGTCTGGGCGCCTGGCTTCTGACTCCCACGGAGGGGCTTTGGGACTCGATGGGGCAGGAGGGAGTAGGATTGAAGCACCAACTGCGTGGGAAGCCGGGGTCCTCTGCAGAGTGCCCCCAGCTCGCTGCTGCTAGGGTCCGGGGTCTGCACTCAGCACCGAAGTGCTAAGCCTCGTGGAGCCCGTGAGGGTGTGGTGGAAGCTACTTCTACCCACGTTCACGGGCCCTGTTCTAAGGGGAGAGTCTGAAATCTGCTGCAGAGTGGCACTCGGCGTCCGTGCCTCCGGCTGGCTGCAGTTGGGGTGGGGCAGGGCATGTGGGGGATGCAGGGCACCAGCACACGGCGTGGCTGATGTCGCCCCCTCATTCTCCTGTGCCTGCCTCATGTCCCCAGCCTGTGGATGGCAAAAACCAAAGCCAGTGAGGGCGACCCGCGGGCGCGGAGCTGGACGCCCCTGTAGGAGCTGTTGGCTGTGGCTGTGACGTATTATCCTGAAACATCATGGCTTGAGACAATAAATCTGTCCGCGGGTCTGGAGTCTGGGAATGGCTTAAACGGCTGCTTCTGGCTTGAGATCATTCACGAAGCTACAGTCAGGCGGAGGCTCTGGCCACCAGAAGGCTGGACTGGAGCTGCAGGTGCTGCTTCCAAGGAGGCCCCTGCATGTGGGCTCTTCCCAGGGCTGCTTGGGCGTCCTCACCACGGGGCGGCTCGTCCTGCAGGGCGAGCAGGTGGAGAGGGATGGGGGTGGGGGCAGCTGCATGGCCTGAGACCCTGTCTTGGACATCACACTCGGTCATTTCTGGAGGATCTCAGTGTTTGTACAGGTCAGCCCTGGTCAGGGTGGGAGACGGCCCCGCAGGGCGTGAGCTCCGGGGAGGCCCACCAGGACGGCCTGGGGGCTTCTGCAGGAGCACTGACTCTCCCTGCTGTTGGTTCGCTGCTGGGACAAAGCAGATGGGGCCCAGAGTCCCATCTTCCACCAAGGCCCAACGTCTCTGGATTTGAGCCCTGGGGAGACTCTTTCTCCCCACCATCTCCCCCAGAGAGATAAGGACCCATCTGAAGAAGAGGAAGATGGAGGCCCATAGTCTGACTTGAGATCAGACAGCTGGCTGCAAGGAGCTTGAACCCAGATGAGGCCGTGGGGGGGGGGGAGGGGGGCGACAAGCCCTGTTCGGGGTGGGACACCTGCAACGTGCCCTCCTTTGGGGCTTGGGTGGCTATGGACACAGCTGTCTGGTCAGCAGAGCCCAGGCTGGCCTTGACTGTGAGCATGTGGCCTCTGTATTCCAGAAAGCATGGCCCCGTCGCCAGGCCCCTCAAAGCCAGGGCCCAGGAAACCCGCTATGGGCTGCAGCCCCTTCCTCTCTCTCAAAGCCTCCAGGAGCATCCCCTGGAGGCTGTTCCAGGGCCCAGACGTGATGGGTGTCCCTCCTCCAGTGCCACCTTCAGTGGGCTGCGTCCCCGGTGGGTCTGGAGCTTGTCCTGAGCTCACACACCCCAGAGGCAGAGCCTGTTACAGGGATGCTGTCTGCCCTGGGGTACTTCTCAGCTGGGGGTCTTGCAGGGAGCTCCTCCTTTCCTGGGCAGCTGGGGCGGGGGAGTCTTATCCATGGATGCATGTGTGAGACAACAAGACTGGATGTGAGTCACAGGGGCAGAGATCAGGGATCATGGAAGGAGCATGAAGAAACACACTGTGGACTCAGAGGGGGTCAGACAGCCGGGAGGACCCCAGAGAAAGGGGAGGTCGGGGAGCATCTCCGAAGGCCGGCTGTGCAGCCCTGCATAGGCGCTTTCCCTGTGTGGCGAAGGGAGAGGCTCTGGGAGGAGCTGAGCCGGTGCCTGCGGGGCCCCTGGAGCCGGAGTCTGTGCTGCGCTCCTCCCTGAATGGGATGCCGGCTGCTCCATGCTGGTGCTGGTACTGGAGGAGAGTTCTCCGTGTCGGTGGGAGTGACAGAGCCGCTGTGTTGCTATCATCCTTCACCTGCAGGGATGGACGTTCCCCTTGTGAAATATGAGTTTCTAAATACTGGTCAGCTGCTACGTGCTTGGCCTCGCAGGAGCCAGCCCTCTGATGATTGTTTTGGAGGGCTTGGAGAGGCAAGCCCTTAGCTGGCTGGCCTGAAGTCTGGCTGGCAGGGAGAGAACCAGCCAAAGGAGGCAGAGAGCCCAGTGCTGGTGGAGCGGGGTCTGCAGGTACTGCTGGCCTCTGGGAGCTCCGGGGAGGAGCTGGGGGTGGAGCACGGACGACAGGAGGTGGGAAGGCAGAGGTGTGGCCATGGGGTGACCTCCCGCAGGACCCTGTGAAAAAGAGTCCTGGGGTGGGAGGAGATTTCAGCACCACGGCCAGCTCCGGCCCTGGGCCCTTCCCGGGAGGAACGCCAGGTACCGAGGCCGGCCCAGCCGCACAGCAGTGCCCGGAAGGCTGTTTGGGAGGAGACCGGCTTGTCTGAGTCAGCATAGAGCAGGCCCACTATCTGCTGCCTAGAAGGATGGGGGCTTCCAGAGCAGGGCACAGCACCTTGTCTCCTCCCTCCCGGCACTGAGGGGGACTGTTGGGCCTGATCTGTGCATGAAGAAACAAGAGCCAGAGCTCACGTGAACCCCTCAGGTCTCACCGCTGCTGGTGGAGGGCTGGCCACGCCCAGGAAGGCTGCTGGAAACTCTGTCCTTCCCGAGGCCCGTGCTGCTGGCCACCTTCCTTCCCCCTCTACCATTTCTCACCCCATCATGGACTGTGCTAGTCTCAGACAGACCCCACCACCCTCTCCCAGAAGATCTGCTGTGTCTTCTCCATAGCAGGCACCCCTGTGAAACATCTTTTCTCTTTGTCTCCCTGACCAGTCAGGATCCCAGCAAGACCGAGATGGTGCACTTAGGTAAGGTCAATTCCCGGGGGCTGGTGAAGGGGCTGTTCTAAGTGTGGGTGCCACACCAGGGACCACACAGGGTATCCCACTCCCTTGGGTGCATAGCCACTGAGCTGTTGCCCCTCTGGCCTGCAGGGGTGTGGGGAGGAGTTACATCCAGGCAGAGCTCTTTGGAGCTGTCCCCCTGCCCCTGGGAGGCAGCCTTGCAGAGAAAGGACCGAGGGATCCACGCTTTGCTTCTCTCCTTCCCCTCTCCTGCTGGGCTCCCCGTTGGCGAACCCAAGCAGGAGGACACTGGAGTCTGGACACCATCCACACCACAAAGGGTGGAGAATGTGGAGGAGGGTCAGGTGGAGCACCTCCAAGCCACCACCATCAGACTCTTGCTCCAAGCTGCATCCTTGGGGTGGAGACCATTGCTTGGTATGGGAGATGCTCAGACGCCCGACAGCATGACCATACCATCATCAGCCACCTCGCAGCTTCCCAGCATCTGTGGAGGAGGCTGACTTTGCTTCCCTGGGCAGAACCTCCCAGATGAGCAGGGACTGCCGGCCCCTTCCAAGACCCTATGAACACACGGGGCTGTGGGCCTTTCAGGGGAACCTCTAGCTGCCCTGTGGCATTGAGATGCGTTTTGCTGTGAAGTTATAAACAAGCAGTTCTGCTCAGGGACCACTCTGTGCTCTGGCTGTGAGTCAGGGCTGATCCTCTCATTCTCATTTAAGGGGGATGCAGTTCCCTGATGGCGGTGAAGGCCACACTTGGGGGGTGCTCACCCTTGGTTAGCATTGCCTGGGCCCCACGAGTGCAGAGAGACTGGACCACGGGCAGTGCCAGAGCCCTTTCTCCCACAGTGGCCCTGGTGCCTGGGTGTCCATGGGGCACCTAATGCCTGCCTGCCCTCTCCCCTGAAGTCTGAGCGTCCTCCTCTGAGCTTGGCTGGGGAGCCTCTGCCCAATCAAGCCCCTGACTCCCTTGGGACAGCAGCCAGCCCTGTCCACTCTGCCCAGAACTGCCCACTGAGCTGGGTCCTTGGCACTTTCAGCCGAACCATCCAGCTTGGCTGGCTCCAACTTCTCCAGCAGGGCTGCGTGTGGGCGCCCCCTTCCCAAGGAGGAGAAAGCTGGTGGTTGGCTGCTTATGGCAAAAGGCCTCGGGGATGATGGCCGGGCTGGAACTGGGGGGGTGGGTTCAGTTTAGGGGTCCATCAGCTGTGGTCGTGTCTCTGAGGGCTTCTCTCTGCACCTCAGCCTCATCTTGCTGACTCGTCCATTGGCCAGCCCTTACCCCGCTCACCCTCATCCCTGCAGTGCCCCCCACAGAGGAAGTCAGACGCCGCCTGGGACATCAAAGCTAGAGAAGTTGCACAGATCCGCTCTCCTTGTCCATTTTACAGACAAGGAAACAGGCCTAGGAGGGGCTGTGGCCTTGTGGTCCGGACACTGGGGCTTCTGTCCCCCACGCCTCGAGCTTGCCTCGTCCTGACCTCTTGGTGTCTTTCAGCTCCTGGGCTTCGTCTATGCCTGCCACGTGGTCAGCGTTTTCACCGAGGAGGACAGCTGTGAGTATGCGGCTGCCGGGCTCCCACAACAGCCTCTTGGTGGCCTGGCCTGGACCCTCCAGGCGGTGGCAGGGCGGGTTGGGGGGAGCAGAAGGCGCAGAAGGCTCGCGGTGACTCTGGCCATTCTCCTGGCCTGTCATTGCAAAAGCTGAGACCTCGCCTCTTAGATGGATCCCCCTGCCCTCAGGGGTCCTTGCCTGAGCAGAGGGGGTGGGGGGCCCAGCCACCTGAGAAGAGATGAGGAGGGGCCCCGGGCTGTGGGCATCAGGGGTCAGCTCATACCAAGCCCCCAGGTCCAAGGGCTCCTGTGCTGCAGAGCTGGTCCCCCACAGCCCCCACAGCAGCTGCAGGTGGAAGGTTGAACCCTCAGACCTGCAGAGGGGTGGGCCCCTCGGCCTCCCCGCAGCTGAGATCAGGCCCTACTGGCTGTGGTGTCCCTATCAGGTATTCAGTGCCCGCTGGACCCATCAGAGCAGTATTTTTGCTTCCTGCTCAGAGAGGGGGGCCCCCTTGACCTTCCTCTGATTTGTAACTCCAATGCTCAGGCACCCTTGTGGGCCCCGACTGCCCCTGGCTCTGACGTAGTTTCCTGGGAAGACTCTGCAGAGGACAAAGCTGGCGTGCATGGGGACTGGGTGCACCCAGGGGGCCTTGGCTCCCATGGGCAGAACCTTCCTTGGGGTCAGAACGGGGATCCAGATCTTCTGTTCCCAGGAGTCAGGTGGCTATGGGGCTGGCGGTCCATGTGTCCAAATGGCATCCTATTCTGGGAGACCAGACTTGCTCTGGACCAGCCCCCAGATCCCCCAGCTGTCATGCTGTGACCCCCAAACCATCATTCAGACCACTGCTGGCTGGGAGAGAACCAGAGGGGATTCACGTGTCGGTTACATTAAAATGTTTTGGGATGGGAGCCAGCCCTGCGGGTTCGGAAGTGCATTAGCTCTGCCCAGCAAACCCAGCTACCCACTGGCTGCCCAGCACAGCTTCAAGGGGCAGGTGGCTGATGCTGGTGGAAGTGGTGGGGGCATGGTTGGGTCACAGTGAAACTCTCCGAAGCCCCAAGGACCCAGGCCATCGCCGCAGACCACCTCCCCCTGCTGAGCTCGTCAGTGTCCACTGGGACGTTTTACCAGGGGAGTGTTCACAGTGTTGCTCCTCCAGAGGGACATGGCCAGGTCTGGGCCGGGCCTGGGGCAGTGCCTGCCCTCCCCCGGGGCCCCCAGGCTCGCCCCCGCCTCTGCCATCACCACACCAGGGTTCTGCCATCTTTTCCATTGTTTGGGTCTTGTTTTATTTGGGTCTTGATTTCTTTCAGTTGATTTTTCATTGGTGGATCTGACCCATTTCCTCTCTACCATGTCAATGAAAAGCCTTCCAACCTCTTGTTCAAGCAGGCGTACTTGAATGTATGGCCAACAGAGCCTGCCCCTGGCCGGGCCTAGCCGGTTGGGTTCGCACAGCCGTGAGGCTTCTCTCCTGGTGGATGCCTCACCAGCCATCTGTCTGTCCATCCATCCCTCCATCCATCATCTGTTCGTCTACCTGTGCCAGCTCTGGGCTGGGTATGGAGGTGTCAAGGCTCTGGGGCTTGGCCCCCACCCCCTGGAGCTCCAAGCCCAGCAGAGTCTATGGAGTTGGGTCTAGGACGGTTTTGTGCCGGGGGCTGGGGGGGCGGTCATGGAGAGGCCACGTCCCAGGAGGGCAATGTGGCTGTTCTCTAAGGGTCTCACTGCAGCAGGAAATTTAGGGTGTTGGTTTCTTTGGAGAATCAGTCTTCTTTCCTCTTAAAAAGCAGTGTCCAGGACCCTGCACCCTCCCAGGCTCAGGGTGGGGGTACCTGAGCCGCTGTCCACCTACTCTCAAGCAGCCTTTGCCAGGTCCCCCATATAATCCTGAAATTTGGGGTCCAAGAGCCAGCTGGGGGTCCTTCTCTCCATAGAGCTGGACTTGCTCCATCCCACGCAGGCTCTTGGACACAATCCTGCCCTTCAAGGCGACACCTGTGGCGGAGGACCCCGGGTCTCTTGGCAGCCGCACCCCTTCTGCCCTATAAGTGAAGGCCCATCTCAGCCAAGGGCCATCAGGGGTAGCAGGCGTCCCGTCCCCGTGACAGGAGAGCCCTCACTCAGGCCGCAGAGCCAGGACAGACTATGAGAGCAGACAGCTCGGGCACACGGGGCTCTGAAGGACTTCACCAGGCTGTGCGGGCCTCTGGGGATCTCCTCCAGCCATTGGAGCCTGGGTGGCCAGGACCCAGGGTCGGCCCCTCACCCCACCCCCAGCTTCATGGCCCAAACCCTATTGTCTGCAGACACAAGGCGGGGGGGCCTGCCCAGAAGCCCCGCCCCCACCAAAGGCCAAGAAGCCCTCAGCTGCTGGGATGTTGTCCCTTTTGCATTTGGGGCTCTCCAAGGCAAGAGGGCACAGCAGCCCTTGCTGAGGGCTGACTGGCCCAGGCTTCCTGCCCCGGTGCCAAGGGCTGCCCCTCAGGGCGCTCTGACCTCTGCCCACCCCCACCTGCCCCAGGGGCCGCTGATGGAGCCCTGGGTGGGCCACTGGGCTCAACCAGGAGTACAGGCTCCCTCTGCCTACAGAGCAAAGCACTTCCCTGTCCTTAGCTGGTGGTGCTGTTCACAGAAGGGGCTTAAGCCCTGGTCCTGCAGCGTCCTCACAGTACTCCCAAATAGAAAGTAGAAAGGGCGCTGCCCTGTAGACCTCCTTCCCTGAGACGCAGGAGTTTGGTGGAGAATTACAAGCTCCATCCCTGAAGTGGCCTGGGGCTAGAGGTTTTTAGAAGTCCTCACAACGCTGAGAAGAACAGAAGGAGGGAGAGGGGAGGGGACGGAAGGGGCCCTGCTGGACACGAGGGGGCATGTGGGGAGATGTGTGGCCGTGCTGCCCTGCTGCTGAGGGGCGGGGGCAGGGGACCTTCTGGAACAGAGGCTGGTGAGCGCCATCCAGGGAAAACCCACTTTATTGTGAATCTCCAAAAGCATCCAAGCATCAGTAAAACCACCTTTACACCCACTCCCTTTGCCACGACGTCTGCAGCTCCTTTCCACCCTGGGCTGCGTCTGGGGACTTGGGACAGCCCGTTGTGGTTGCCAGCTCAGCTGTCCTCAGCAGGCCTGTCGTGTGGCCCGAGGGACAGGCGGAGATGGGCAGGGTGCCCGCCAGCTCTTGAAGCACCTGGGAGAGGAGGGATGAGCGGGCTACTCCCGGTTGGCTTGTCCACGGACCAGAGACTCCAGCCTGCAGGAAGCTCCCTCCCCGGCCACTTGACCCCCCTGGAAGTTGATCGGAGAGACGGGGTGGGGGGCACAGAATCCTTTGACTACCAGGAGGAGGCCATGCTTCCTGCCAGCCGTAAAACTCCAAGGTTCACGCTCCCCTCCCTCACCTGGCCTTGGCCGCCAGGTTAAGATCTCTGCCCAGGCCCTGCCTCATAACAGCACACCTCCAGAGCCATCCTCCCCTGGGCCTGGCTGTAGCCCACACACCCAGCTGGATAGGGGGCTTTATCCCCCCAGTCACTGGGGAAGTCAAGGCAGGGCTGGGCCCAGCTGGTATGGTTAAAGTGCCCAAGCCGAGTGATGGTGGTCAGCTGGGGTGCTGTGTTGAGAAGGACCCGGAGCACAGATGTGAGTGTCGAGGGAAGGTAAAGCATTGATCAGCAACATCTGCTGGGGCCAGGGAGCTAGAGAAGTAGAAGTGCTCCCTCCTGCTGCTGCCCTCGCCAGCCAGCCCCGGTGTTGAGCTCGCGGGAGACAAAGTGTGCTGGGGGTCCCTGTCCAGGCCCGTCCTGACATTTCTGAGGCCCACGTGGGGACGTGCACACATCAGGCCAGGCTAGGATCTGCCTGTGGGTAGCTCCGTGGCCACTCACCTGGCCTAGGGCAGGAAGGTGCGCACGCGGCTGCGGATGGGGGCCCTGCAGATGGGGCACAGCTGCAGGGCTGGTGCGCACTCGGCACAGACCAGGTGGCCGCAGGGCACGAAGACGGTGCCCACGGCGCGGTCCAGGCACACCTTGCAGGTCCGCTCCTCCCACAGACACAGCAGCTGCTCTTCTGTATCCTGGGCTCCTGGGGGTTCGAGAACCCAGCAGTGCCCTCTGGGCCGGGGCTCCACCCGCTTCCTCCAAGGCCACCGTGTCCACCCCCAGACCTCCACCTTCTGTCCTGGGCTAATGGGGGGGACCCCTCCCCCGAGGATGCAGGGGAGCTGGCCCTGCCCCCGGGTAGGTCCCACCCTCACCTGGCTCCCTGGCACCTTCTGACTGGACCTCTCTTCTGGGCATGGGCAGCTCAGGACCTGTGTGAACAGGAGCTGTAGGTGGTGAGGAATGGATTAGAAGCCCCGGGGGAAGTGAACCCCTACCCAGAGGGGCCACAGGCCAGGTCTGGCTCTGGCAGGAGCCCACCCAGCCCCACAGCCCCCCTCCTGCCACTCCACGGCATGCCGTAACCCCCAGAGCCCACGCCACCGCGACGTGCCCCTGCAGACCCTGCATGGTGGCTGTGGGGGCGTGTGCCTGGCGCCGTGGGGCTGCAAGGAAGGGCTGTGCCCAGAGGGGATGAGCAGGGAGAGGCCAGGGCGGGGACGCACCTCTGGCCGCCGTCACCCGGCCCCCCTCCTCTTCCTGGAGCAGGTCGGCCACCAGCTGGGACGCGGAGATGCCGGCGGGCACCGCCCACCGGTACCTGTGCTGCAGCAGCTGTTGCACGCGGCTCGGCCCAAAGCCCATGCGCAGCACGGCCCGCACCGCTGGGCACCGGCTCCACGCGGACCACTCCTGGCTGCCCCTGGCACCTGCAAGGCAGGGTGAGGGGCACTGGGCCAAGGGCAGGGAGGGCTGGGGCGGGGCTCAGGGTCACAGGACAGGGGCAGCGGCTTGCCACTGTGGCCGGTCCCCACGGGCCTCTGTGGCCACCACAGCCACCTCGTTGACATTCCAGGGAGGGCTGTTCCTCGTTCAGAGGTGCCACCACACAGGAAAGACGGTAAAAGCTCATCGCCAAGGCCACTATAGACAGAACCCCGCCAGGTGCCGGGTGCTGCTCCCAGAGCATCACATAGACCGGCTCGGTTCCAGACGAGGGTGGCACCATCCCCATTTCGAGCTCAGGGCGTTGAGGTTCAGAGAGCAGAAGTCACTTGCTACAGACTTAGAAGAGCCAGGGTCTGAACCCTGGAGCCCTCGCACCTTTGCCCCGCAGTCCTGGGCACGGGTGTAGACAGTACCCCCCGCTGCCCTGTGCACTCCCGACTGCAGCCACCTCCGGGGCGAGGGGCACCAGGTACACACAGCTGCCTCTCCTCTTCACGCTCCCACTGTCGGCCATCGGATTGGCAATGCCCACAGCGGGCTGCTCAGTGGTGCTGGGGACTGCCTTCCCTCTCCCGAGCACCAGACACACAGTGCACCTGCATGCAGCCCCCTGCCACCCAAACAAGCCCAGGTAGCACCCTCACACCTGGCCAAGCAGCCTCACTGTCCCTGCACTGAGACCTCCACCACAGTGCAGGCTGCAGGTGCCCAGGGAGCAGAGCATGGGGCACGCACCACAGCTCACCTGAGGGGGGGGGCAGGGGCCTCGTCTTCTGGTTCTTCTGGGCGGTCCTGAAAGGAGCCAGAGAACATCTGTGCCCTAAGTAGAAGGAGGAGTGGGGGTGGGGAGGGACCCGGCTCCCCCTGCCCCACCCGAGCCCTAAGGAGAGGCAGCGCTCACCCAGGAGCCGGGCAGGTGGCAACAAGCCTCCTGGACACTGCAGACAAAGTCCCGTCCCTTTGTCTGGAGCAGGAATTCGCACCTGGAGAAAGCAGGTTGGGAGGTCTCGTGGCAGCGGGCCTGGGCTGCTGGAGAACCCCTCTAGCCAGCCTAGTGCCCCCAGTGCCCTGCAGAGGGCAGCTGGGGCTGAGCGTCAGGCACTTGCTGGGAAGGCTGTTTTGGAGAGACAGCCTCTGTGGAGCATCAGGGAGAAACAGCAAAGATGCTATCCCCAGAGGCCCCCATCGCCAGGATCCGATGCTCCCCCGCCCGTGCCCAGCCCCGGAGCGGCCTGCGGGGTCCTCACCTGGGGAACCACTTGGCATGCTCTGTCCAGGGGTCGTCCCCCTGCTCCCAGCTCTGCAGACCCCCATAGCAGAAGAAGCACCTCACTTTGTCTTGCTGGCCTAGGTAGAACGTGGATGCTGGCCTCGCCCACACCCAGCCTCTCAGCACCCGCCCACTTGGCCAGGTGTGCCCCCCAAGGCCGTGGGGGCTCCCAGGTGGCCTTTCCTTATGTGGCAAGGGTTATCGGGGGTTGCTCAGGAACCCTGGGGGCTCCCACTGCTCTCTGCCCCCCTTTGCCCTGTATTCTCCTTGGATTTCACATGCACCCCACTTTCTCAAAGGTGAAGTGGGGATAGCAGTGCCTTGGGACTGATGCAGACATTCATTCACAGGAAGCAGGCAGGTCAGGGCTGCTACAGGCCCGTCCCTGGACCCCAGGGGCCCCATGGACGCCCCATACACCTCCCATCCCAACTGCCCCTGTGCACGCGCCACCGTCCGAAGCACCCGAGGAGAGACTCCGAGGGGCAGGGACAGCTGTGGAAAGGCCGCAGGACCCTGCCCCCTCTGCGTGAGGCCCAGACCCGCCCTGCCCTGGGGGAGGGGCTCCAGGCCAGCAGGGTCCCGAATGGCACCCAGGCCCCCAGAACTCACCGGTGTGGAAGAAGCCTGCGGCAGCCAGCAGCTCAGGCCGCACCACGGTGGTCAGTGGCCAGTCGTAGAAGGAGGCCAGCCGCAGTTCCTCAGAGCCCATCCCAGGGAAGGCCGGCCTTGCGGATGGGGCAGCCCTGGCCCCCACCTCCTCCTCCTCCTCCTGCTCTGCAAGGGGGCGCAGCTGGCCCAGGATCTGCCCGTCCATGTGGTCCTGGCCTCCCCAGGACACGGTGCAGCAGGTGCCCTGGCCCACAGTGTGGCTACACAGAGAGAGGGGCCCACAGCGCCCCTGTGTGGGACTGTTGTCAGCCGCCCAGCGGCTTAGCTCTGGGCCACAGCACCAGCACCTGGCCCTGCCCTCAGGCCCCATAGAGCAAGCACCAGCCCTGACCAGTCCTGCAGCAGTGACAGGGCCCACGGAAGCCAGTCCCGGAATGTGCCCAGCCAGCCTGCCTCAGGGCTCCTGAGCCCTGGGCCCCGCCTGGGGACAGCAGGGGCCTTTGCCTCCAGCAGCTGGGCAGTGAGGGCGGCACAATCCTGCCCCCGGATGCCCCAGCGCAGGGAGCGGCCAGGGGCCCCACTGCTTTCTGGAAGGGGCCAGTGTGGCAGTCAGCATCACGCGCTCTCGGCAGCAGGGGTGTGTCACGGGGCTCCCAGGCGGGGGCCGCGGTGGTGGGGGCCTCGCTCCACTCCACAGGGGTGGGTGGTGACTCCCGGGACAGAGGGGGAGGGGGTGGAGCACGGACACCCCTACTGAGGCCGCAGAGGCCTACTGCTGGCTAAAGGACCTGGGGTAGGGGGGAAGCGGGCAGAAGGGGGAGGCGATGCTCTGCGTCAGCTCCGAGTTCCTGGGCCAGGTGCCAGTGCCAGCCTCTGAAAGCAGGAGGTTCCAGGGGCTCTGAACTATGCAGTTAGTGCCCCCCCCCCCAGAGGGGAGGGCATCCCCCTCTCTCAGGGATGCCACCGGGCTCCCAGGGACAAGGTTACCTAGTGACGGGCCAGCCCCTGGAGCAGTTTCCCTGGACATTCTGCTCTGAACCCTGGAGCAGAGGGGCATGAGACTTCCTTGCGCCTGGCCCAGCCAGAGCAGGAGGGTCTCAGCTGGTCAGTGTGCAGCTCTAGCCCTTAAGCCATGAAGGTCACGGACAACCGGGCTTGTGTCCTTCCCAAGGCTCTGGGGAAGGGGCTGGCCTGAGCTCACCTCTGTCACCTCCTCAGCCTCAGTGTCCAGGTGGGACTAGGCTGGGGTGTGAAGCCACACAGTGCGGGCTCAGTTTTCCCATTGGAGTCACAGCCCCCAAGGCCGCAGTAACCCAGACACTGGGGACCTTTGGGAAGGGGTCACAATTCCAGCTACCTGCACCTGCTGCATCAGACGGGTCCTCCTGCTTGGGCGACCAGACCAGCCACCCCACTGCTCTCCCAGGTGCCCCCTGCTCTGCCTCAGAACCAGCCCACCTCCCTGGGCCTGGCTGGGCACCTCCACTTTCCTAGGTAGACATGGGGTGCCCCACTGCTGGCCAGGGGCCCCAGGTTTCAAAACTGCACTTGCTCCAGACCCAGATCAGAGCCACCGGCCACGTGGAACAGGCTTCCCTCAGACCTGATCATGGCCACAGGGTCTCCACCAACCCGGGGCCCCAGTGCCCCCAAGCCCAACAGTTAGGGAACATGGGAGGAGGGCTGTACCCAGGGAAGCTGGAGCTCCCAGGTGGGCAGAACATGTTCTGATGTAAAGGATGCAGAGAAAGGCTGGATGGGGTGTGGGGGCCGTGGCCCTGCTGCCCCCCTGGCCCCCGCCTAGGAGCCCAAACCTACTCCCTGCTTCCTGGGGCGGACCTGACTCTTCTGCCCGCTCAGGCCCTAAACCCTCTCTCATCCCTAACATGCTTTTCCTGGCAGCTCACATCCGGTGTCAGCACCCATTTGCTCAGTGCAGCAGCCCTTTAAAAACAAGTTTGTGAAGAATAAAGCAAGGAACCAGGCTCTGTAGGGTCATTGCTGACAATGGGGGGCAGGGGGCCGGCAGTAGGGGGCAGGGGTGGGAAGGCCTAACCTGCTCTGGGGTTGGCAGCAAAGCCATGGCAGGGCTGTGGGCAGGGTGGGCCATGCCACAGCAAAGGTCACAGAGAAGAAGTGGGAGGGGGTGGAGGGGTATGGGGTGTAACTCTGGTTCGCCCTGGCCAGGCCCCTGCCCCAGCGGCCCTCCCTCACCTTCCACGTGGGGCTGTATGAACCGCAAACCCAGCCTCCGGGAGCCCGAGCTCCTATATACCAGCCTGCACCTGTGCTTCCTGTGCCGGGGATGGGGGCTGCCACCTTGCCCTCGAGGAAACCCGTCACTGTCCTGGCTACCCCAGCTACTCAGCCCCGATGAGTAGCCCCAGAGCCACCAGGTTCCCTGCAGGAAATCCCAGTAAAGGGTGTGGCTGGAAAACTAGGCAGCAAGTAGCAGGGCGCTGCACTCCCTTCTGCCTCCCCGGGCCAGGGTGGCCTGGTGGGCGATAGAGAGAGGGACAGAGAGACAGCTCGGGGGCTGTGGGGGCTGGACCCCAGATGGGACCTCTCAACATGTCGGTCTCAGGATGTCAGGCCTTTGCCCCGTCCATGCTCCACTGCTCAGGATGCAGAGGTATCCTTACCTTTGGCTTCAGCAAACCCCTGAGGGCACCTGTCCCAGGGTCCTTCTGGAAGCTTTCCTCAGGTCAGCCCTCTGCCCCTGCTCCACCCCCACCCTCAGATGGACAGGGAGGTGGGTACCAAGTCTCCAGCCTGCTTTTCCCTCAGCAGGGAGCTCTGCAGCCCCCAGGTTTGCTGTGGATGCTCTGGACCTGGGGACTGGACGGGTTCGGGGGGGGTCCTCCCAGGGGCCCCTGGCAGCAGAGGCGGCTTCCCCTGGGGGCCCCTCTGTGGTCCGTTCCCTCTGACCCTACCGCTTTGGGGCTGGCAAGGCAGAAGCAGTCTCCCTCGATTCTGGAAATCCCAAATTTGCACAGTTTGGTTAATTACAAAGTGGAAGGAAGGAAGTGGCTCTGAAAGGGGGATTTGCTGCCTGAGCCGAGGGGCAGATGATCTGCAAGCGTGGGTCTGTGCATCTGGGCACAACCGTCCATGGGAGTAGAAGCCTGGACCCGGAGGCTTCACGGGCTGGAAACTTGGTACCCACATCTCTGTGCATCTGAGGGTGGGCATGGAGCCGGGGCAGACGGGCTGACCCCTGAGGAAGGAGGAGGAGGCCAGGCGTCCATCGCCTTGCTCATCTGCACCCATGTTTGAAATTCTTGAAACAAAGAATTATCCATGAGTTGCTTATATAATTAAAGAGAAACACGAAGGTAAAAATAGCAATCACATGCTTATTCTGGAAATATTGAGAATACTGAAAATACACAGAAAATAAAAGTCACTATCTGAACCCATTCGGTGGCAATACTGGGCCAGTTTCTGGATCTGACCTTGCTTGAAGCTACACAAGGGGTCACCACGGGGCGGGGGCGGGGAGTGGGCTGGACCCCTGCACGTTTCTTTGAAAGGCACTGTGAATCTACAATTGTTTCAGAGTAGGCAGCTAAATGGCCATTGGCCTCTCCCTCCGAGATGTGCCCTGCTTACACACTACCTGCCCACGTTTCTCAGTTAACTTTGTCAGTTTTCAAACATGAACGATGTCTGTCAATGTCTCCGATGGCTCAGCTCTTTGACCTCAGGGGTGCCGCATCTTTACTGCAAAATCTCCCCAGGCGAAAGGGTGCCAGACGGGAGATGGGGCGAGACAACCCCAGGCCACCCCAGTCATTTACCGACGGGGGTCTGAAGACGACCCAGGACCCGTGCAGTTTGCTCAGGAGCCAGACAAGACTCCCGCTCTGCCTGAGAGATTCAGAGCCAGCCGGGTGTGGACGGGAATGTCCCTGAGTTCTCCCACCAGTGTGAGGGGCTGGCCTGTCAGGGTAGGAGAGGGGCCAGCTCAGCATCACCGCCCACAGTCCCCGCCCCCCAAGCCCACACCCACCTGAGAATGTTCTCGCACGGAAGCTGTGTGGCATGCTGTCCACCCCAGGCTGGCTCTCCTCGGAGATGATTGGGGTCAGGACGGCTGGGGGGGCGTGCTGACCTACTGGACACGTTCCCCTGGAGTGAGGCTTCTGAGGCCAGGCAAAGGAGGCCAGTCCACACAAGGGGGGCAGGGGGAGCGGAGTCCCTGGCACTTGGGCCCCCGGGAGGCTCGGCAGGGCCAGGCCTGCTGCCCAGGCCTGGATGCATCCCACAAACTCCTCCGGGATGGGGCAGAGGGCCCCCTCTCTGTGCACCCCCTCTCCTGGCTGAGAAAAGGGCTCCGTGAGCTCTCCCCTCGGGGGCGTGGAAGCCCGACTGTCACAGGAGCTCCCCTCCTGTGGCCACAGAGCCCCAGGCAAGCACAGGACAGGCCCATAGAGGCTTTGGGCTTCTGAGGGGGCAAGAACAGGTGTGGGAGGGTGGGGGCAGAGCCGCTGGTGCTGGGACCCCCGCCGCCACGTCCACGCTGCTGTCCACCTCAGAGCCTTCCAAGCTCCTGCCTGGTGGCCCGCACTCCATCCAAGAGCCCACTTTGACCCGGTGCTGCTGCTGGGCCCCTCGCTGATGGTGATGGGGGACTCTGCCCTCACAGCTGCGGCCAGGAGAAATCACACACGGCCTCGTGGCCACCTGCACCATCTCACTGAGCCGGGCCGGCCACCGTCGACCAGGGCAGGAGGGCGAGAACCGCAGCAGACGTGGTCCTAGAGCCCGGAGGGTGCCTGGCCATGGTGCCACGAGGACCTGTGGGGGAAAGGGGCCCCGGGAAGAGAACGAGGGGGAAGATCTCTCCGAGGAGCCTTCTGTGTCACCCCGCCTTCTTTACCCTGCATCTTGCCTTGAGTACTCCAGAGCAGACCCTGGGGTATAAGTGCTTTTGGGGGTCACTGCAGGAAGCATAAGGAGGGAGTGGGCAAGTCACCGATACTGGGGGCTGTTCCTGAGGGTTCACTGCCATGGCAGCCGTGCTGGGGGCCTTGGAGCCTGTGGACCCCAGGGGCGGCCAGCCAGCACCGGGCTCTGGGGTGAGGGGGGGCCAGAGGGAGCCGCAGGCAGAACTGCCAGAGGCCAGCAGGTGGCGCAGGAGAAAGGCGAGCACCAGCTGTGGGGCTTGGGGGCTTCTCCCCGCCTGCTGAGGATGAACCTGCCGGGCCTCAACCGAGCTGCGGGCCCACTGGGCCGTACTGGACCCCACTGGACCCACAGCTTCAGGGCTGCCTCGGTGGGCCAGCCCGAATCACTTCAGGCTCATTGAATCAGATTATTTCCTGGCATGTGTGGGCCCAGGCCTGGGCAGGACAACTGGCCTCCCTG